TTATAACAAAGAGAAATTGCATTTCTAAATTAACGAATATGAAAATGAACTGATTAGTTAGAAATATTAAGAAGACTTTGAAATTGAAATAAAGAAATTTAGGGAAATTTTTACCAAAAAAGGTGTCAAGTTCAATGAAAAAGTTATGGAAAGAATAAAGATACATTTGAAAAAAGAAAATATTTTGAAAGTTTTAGGTTATAATTATAGAGTAGATCTGCAGCAGTTAAAGCACAAAAGAAAAAATTAGCAGGCTGCAATGTAAGTGTAAATGCTTTTAAACTAATATTTTAGGAGTGATTCTTCATCAATAGATATCAAAGATTATCAAGATGAAATTGAATACTTAGATGAAATTAATAACTCTATGATATAGAATACATAGCAAACTGATGACTCAAACTTAGATCGTAACTTTTAGAATATAAGATAAAATAAAAAGTCCTAATATTTTAAAGAATTTAACCCTGAAGGTATTAGGAAAAAATAAACTACTAGCTCATTCTCTAAAAAATTTGTCTCTTTTAAAGAAAAGGCAGATGATGAGCTTGCAACAATTTTTCACAGAAAATAATAATAAGAAAGACACCTATTGAAATCAAATTTTAAAAAAGGTCAAACAGAGAGATAGGTGCTTAATGAGTCTTATGATGAAAGCTAAAATTATATAAGAAGTAAAAAGTAATAATTCCGAAAGAATGATAATATAGAAACTTCCGTAGAATTAGAAAAATAAATGTAAAGCAATGAGCAATTGCATAATACTTTAAACTATGCTGATTGCTAATCATCAAATGACAGCATAAATTAATTAATGAGTGATTTTAGAAGCTAGCAAGATAATTAAATTTATGAAAAAGTTGATTAGAGTAGGTAAAAGTAGCATAACTAATTTCTAAGCAATAGAATTTATATCTAACCATAATTTCAGCAATTGAATCAAAGTGGTATAAAGATAAATAAAAAGTTGAGAAAAAAATCGGTTATACCAGATGAAGAAATAAAAAAATTTATGATGAATTATGAGACAAAACAAACAGAAGATAGGACATAGGTTTTGATTTTGAAAAAATTTGATCGATAAAAAAATAATTAGATAGGAGTTGGTCCTAAATTTTAAGGATCAGATTTTAAGCAGAAATAACTAATGAAAAAATGTTCAAGGCTTAGTTTAGGACAAATATCTTAGTCTCAGTATTAAAATGAAACAAGTTTGTTTAGTGCTGATATGAATGAAAGCTATAATTAGCCTGAATTAAATTTTGATAATAATCAAGATCACTTGGATATAGATCTATAGGAGGATGAAATTTAACTTTATCAGGATTAATCTTAGGAAATGGATTATTATGTAGTTGGCAGTATACAGAGTATACATTCTGAATAGGATCATAATGATTTAAATAACATTTATAGAATTAAGAATCTAGAAACTCCATAATAGAGCAGTAAAAATAAAGAAATGATAGATGATTAAAGCAAAGCAGAAAAGCTGAAGAGATAGGAGTTAACAATTAAATATGATTCATTAAGGTTAGATTTAATTGGGGATCCTGAATATTAGTGTCTTAACGAAAATCTTGAAAATGAATTAAAATAAGACAATTATGAAGAGAGTTTAACAGAAAATTAATACAAAAGTAGTGGAACTATTAATGAAGATAAATAACATAATTAAGGACTATCATCTAATGAAAAAATATCTTCTAAAATTCTATCCTCTTAAAGTAGCAATAAAAATAAAATTTAATAAATTGATTCTTTAATTGAAAAACAAGATAGCGTGTTGGCAAATAATTGGTTTACAAACTAGGAAAAATGATTAAACATTGCTTTATAATACTATTTTCCTATTGTGGGGTTTTGGGGTTTTGGGG